CAATTAAATACAAATATGTATATGTGTAATGAAAACAGCATCAGAAAATTTTGTCTCCGGTTGAGCACGGCAACGCTGTAAAGTGACCGATTAGCTGTTACGGTGGCGCTGCGGTCGCCGCGATATTGGTACGAGATTTGCGTTATCATCATCGTTCTACAGTGTTGCCAAACGCTAGGAATCTGCTTCAGGGTACTCATTTACAAACATGAATGAGCATATTCGTGCGCACACTGACAACCTTGAGATCGCGCACGTCATCTTTCGTTCGGCATGACACTCACAAAATGTAGAACCAGCCCACTAGCCGCCCCTTCGTCCTCGCCCCCCCCCCGTCGAAACCGCCCATCCACCTAACTATTCATTATGAGAGATATGCGGTTATTGCTTTTTGAAACATCATTTACGAGCAAATGACCGAATTTACAATGAGAGTGGGCTCGTTTTCGCGATAGATCAAAAATCGAGTGACGTAGTCAAGGTGCACGCCACCTGACGCAATTCTTCTTCGTTCGTTTCATAGGTAACCCTCGTTATCCTGTGTCCGCGTTTAACCTCGTCAAATTATAAGCACCAAGTGGGGTCAGGGTTGCTAGATTTTGCCTCTTCGTCTGTTAAGCTAACACTATAAAATAGGCCCCTTCGTGAGGATTGTAGCATAATAGCATTATGGTCAAATTAGGCATTTTCAAATGCCCAGGCAGGTTTTGAAGGTCTATCTTCCAGGATTTGCTTTTCTTTAAAAGGATGTCAAAGTTCTTCAGCGCTTTGAGAAGAAAAATTGATAAAAATGCCAGGGTCAGTTAAAGTTGTTTTTATTCTTTATTCAAACGAGGAACTTCAAAATATTAGCATTTTCTAAAGGTAAATTTTATAACGCTGTATTGTCGAAATTTGCTTTAAACTCTAGCTAAAACTAGATTTCTAGAAACGTCTCATTATAAGGTTTCGTTTAGGCCATATTCAGACAAAATCCCGGAGTTTCTCCGAGGGGAGACAATATTTTGATAGTCTCCCACGGCTAAAAATTTTAGAAAATATCATAAGATAATAGACAATTCACGGAGGATGTTTACGTTCCGCACATGAAACCAAAAATAGGAAACTGGAGAACCAAGTTGAAAAAATAAACTTAATGCCTGAGACGTTTCGGGTGGTTTCAACCCCCTCCTCGAACAGGAGACAAAATATAAAAACAAAACAAAACATCCTCAGATATCCATTCGTGGAAGAAGAAGAAGAGGAAGAAGAAGAAGAAGAAACAAGTCCAAGGCATTTTGTTTGTTTCTTAGGCCTTGGTCTCCCCTCCTTGTACCTATTTTGTTTCGTTAATTATAATATGATGAGCTGTCATTACTCTCCAAATCCCTCCCGAGTGCAACAGACCAATTATCATTCGTGTACCTGTACTCGTTTAAATAATGAGGCTAAATTATGCAATAAGGAAATACATACTCTGACTCATTTCAGCAACAACTTATTGTGCCATTCATTTCTGTACACAGACAAATTCTTACGAGGATGGGTCGGAAATATGAGTTCCTTAATCCAAAATGCAATCCAATTTCCCGCTTGAAAATCAAAACCAATCTAAGAGTCCCTATCTAAAATAAGATAATTTGACAACACTTCGCAATACGGAACCACTAGTTCTGACTTATCCGTCGTAGGACCAATCTGCACCAAGAAACTAACGGCGCATATGCTGTTACTAAAAAAAGTAAAAATAATAGTTTCCTGTAGCAAAAAGTGATCCGATCGACTATCTTCGTAGACATTTTTGGTCAAATGCTCGACTAGTCCATTATTCTACCATGCTAAGAAAAAACGCCGTATGAGCCTTCAGGCGTTGAATTTCATTTGATAAAATATGAATTTTTAAAGGCGAATATTTATTTTAGAATTTTTAAAGGATTTTACTAGCAATTTAATCGAAAGTATCTGAAAATTTCAAGGGGAAAAACTCATAAATTCCTCCGAAGTAAATAATTTATCACGAGAAGTCTGGCAACCTCAGAATGTTCATGCTTACTACGGTAGTATTAGCTTACGACGTGGACGGACATTGGGACTTTTGGGTTGACACAAAGGCCGTTCTACCAAACCCCCAATGCAGATGCGCCCTGATTGCTTAATTTTATCTACTTCACATCTGCACGTTTTAGCGTCACTTATGTTTTCTGAGAGGTTCTCGGTATTCTTACAGCTCGAAAGCTCTGCAAGAGGAGGGGTGGTCGTAGTCAATTCGATACTGGGTGATCGGTGAAGTTATAATCCGCGAAACTTATCTTGCGGCCACAGTTCTAAAAATACAGCGTCCAATTGAGAAAGTTCTGAAGTTGATGGCTCGACCCAGTGTCGGCTTTGACGAAGTTCAAACAATTCGCTGAAGCAGAGAGTTTACGCGCGCCAGAAGGGAGCTCATTCAGTTATTCCTTCTCTTACAGTTTCATTTTCTTCCAATTTTTTCTTCATTCTATAAAAAAATTTCTCATTTACTTCATGAAGAGGCACGTAAAATTGACCGCGTTTAGCAGAAAAGAACCAAGCTGCATCAGCTATTGCCGAATTTAACCGGACAATTAAAGTTTTAACAATAGAACGTTTGTGCAGATTCTTTTGGAAATTTTAAGGATTTTGCTTCGTACTATGCAAAAAATTCACTGACTGCTGCACAAAAATCCGCACAACTGTTACCATGTAAAAAGTTAAATTGTTCAATTAAAGTTGGCAATAGCTGATGTGGCTTGGTTCCTTTTCGCTTAACGCGGTCCAAATTTGATTGCCTCGTTACTCTAATTAATCTTGGTCGATGCTCGCTGACGACAGAACTAAGGCTTTACAAAGCCCTAAATCGGTCGGAAATTTTAGAGTACTCAATAAAAGCATCTAGGGAGCAAATTTTAATTTACGTTATCGTTACTTACGAGGTCCTATTTTGAAACATTCCATGATGAAAGCAGCATTGTTTGTGTTTAGGATTTTTTCCCTCAATATTCATGTTTACATATTTTTTCTATATCGATACGCGGGAAAAAAAATCATAAGTTCAATAGGAATTGGAAATATATATTAACTTTGCAACGTTCGTAGGCGATGAATATTGATGAATTACTTAATCAAATAATTACGTACATAAAGTCGCTTTCACAGCGCAGCCTCGCGCTCTGTGACGCCCAATCGCCATTGCCCCCTGTCCTAACAGAGATCATTAGGCAATTGAGGACACCGCACCAAGAACAGCCTATAGGCGTATAGGTCGTTATTACGCCCATCTGCTTTTCGGATTCTACGTACCCTGGACTATGCTATGATAGCGATAGAATATAGATACATAGGTAACGGCTCGAGGTCGAAAAACCTTTTTTTTTTCCCGAGTTAAGTCAGGCCACTGGATCGATGGGTGCAAGAACGACATATAAGCGGGCCTATAAACTTAAGGGCCTATAAGGTGCTAGTTACCCCTTCCTTTACTCACTATCGATATTCTTTCATTTTGCGTTAATCATGCGTGATTAAAATGATTTATACTTCATATTGCCACCAAAATGACTGTTGGGTGTAATAATGGCCTATAAACCGCTTTTTTAAATTAAATATATTAGAGTTTAAACCCAAAATGTATCGCAAAATCTACCCGACATCCTTCAATAGAAGGGTTAGGTTACCCAAAAACACAAAAACAGGGTACCTGCATAGAAAAGTCTGCGCAGGACATCAAAAACAAAACTTTAAAAGCGTTATTCTCAAAACGCGGTTTCAAGTTATAGGCTGTTCTTGGTGCGGTGTCCTCAATTGGAATAGCCTCCATGCTCGCTGGGTTTGTCGATTTCCTTTGACACTTTTGCAGTGGTGAATGCATAGCTGAAGTGAGCTCCAGCCAGAATTGTATTTAGCAAATGAGTGGTTTTTATACGATGATTAAAAATAAACAAGTGGTACGGAATATAAGAAAAGAATATGAACAATGCAAAACGATAATCCGGATTCCGGAGAGTTCAAATAGTTGTATCATTGCGCCGTAAGAATGTGACGGAAGATTACAATCTAAATAGCCTTATACACGCTAGCTTTGTCGATTTCCTTTGACATTTTTGCAAAGGTGAATGCATAGCTAAGATGCGCTCCAGCCAGAATTGTATTCAGCAAATGAGTAGTTTTTATAGGAGGATTGAAAACAAACAAATGGTAGGAAATAGAACATAATAATAGGAACTTTGCAAAACAATAATCCGGATATCGGAACTTGGCTGTTTTGAAAACGCCTTCAAATGCGGCGTGATACCTCACGCATTCCGGAGAGTTCAAATAGTTGAATTATTGCTCCTTAGGAATGCGACGGAAGATTACAATTAAGAACACCGCACCAAAAACAGCCTATAGGTGTATTGGTCGTTATTACGCTCATCTGCTTTTCGGATTCTACGTACCCTGGACTATGCTGTGGTAGCGATAGAATATAGATAGGTAACGGCTCTAGGACGAAAAACCTTTTTTTTTTTTCCCCCGAGTTAAGTCAGGCCACTGGATCGATGGGTGCAAGAACGACATATAAGCGGGCCTTTAAACTTAAGGGCCTATAAGGTGCTATAGTTACCCCTTCCTTTACTCACTATCGATATTCTTTCATTTTGCGTTAATCATGCGTGATTAAAATGATTTATACTTCATATTGCCACCAAAATGACTGTTGGGTGTAATAATGGCCTATAAACAGCTTTTTTAAATTAAATATATTAGAGTGTAAACCCAAAATGTATCGCAAAATCTACCCGGCATCCTTCAATAGAAGGGTTAGGTCACCCAAAAACACCAAAACAGGGTACCTGCATAGAAAAGTCTACGCAGTACATCAAAAACAAAACTTTAAATGCTTTTTTCTCAAAACGCGGTTTCAAGTTAAAGGCTGTTCTTGGTGCGGTGTCCTCAATTGGCACCTTCAGATCTCTTTCTCCACTCCTTGTCGCCAACCTTTCACGGGACGTCCACGTCGCGTCGTTGCCTTCCGGGCGGAACCCAATCGCAAGCCTGCTTGGGCAACCGATCGTCTGCTATCCTTTGCACATGTCCATACCAGACCGACTGCTTGGACCCGATATCGTGCACGATGTCATTCTCCACACCCATTATCTTGCGCACCTTTTCATTGTGGATATACGCTCTCTTCTCGAGATACCGACAGCCCTCTTCCAAAAGTCCATCTCAGTTGCCCTTAAGATGTCTGCACTCCTTTTCTTCTGCTGCCAGAACTCCCTCCCGTAAGTCACATTACTCTTCACGATCAAATAATTTCAAGACTCAAACGACTGAAAAAAAGTCTAACAAATCAAATTTGTCGAATACCTACAAAAATATTATAGACATAGGACTTACCAAAGTTGTTAAGTGCAGCGTGCACTTACTTTGCATGCAAAAATACGTACAAAGACTTCCATACTCACCTGCAACATAGGACGAAAAAATATTTAAATGAATTCGTTCAATTACTCGGAAAGGTGTGTTGAATGCATGCGTCTTGGAATGGATAACATTTTAACATTTAAACAAATGGATAACATTTTTAGTTATTCTTGCTCTGCGGAGTCGAGAACGATTATAATCGTTGTCCTTCTGTAAACAGTTTCTTACCTTAGGAAGCCCCATCTGGTTTACGGTTTTTTTTTTTTTTTTTTTTTTTTTTTTTTTAGGTGTCTAGCTAACAGTAGGGGATACTAAAGGCAGCCTTTAAAATAACGTCTAAAAACGGACGATTTTTGCCAATCTGGAGTAAAATCTAGCAGTATAATTTTGAAAACGGGTCGTTGGCAGGGCTGGATTTACCTACTTGCCGCCCCTTTCTCACTCGTTTTGAAACTTTAAACAAAAACCATCAAGTGATCAGTGCCGGAGGAGGAGGGGTGCATAAGACGCGTTCACTCGTGTTGGACACATTTTTTGCGAAAGCCCTGTCAACACTACTAGTAAAAGTTCAGTTCCGTAAACCTATCCCTGTTGTGAACAAGGACTTCCATTTGTAAGACATGGACGAAAAAATTATGAAAGAACAAACATAAATGTGGTTTAATAACTTTAACTTCCGCTGCTGCGCCGCTGACCGCACTGTGTTTGGCGCAATGCGTGAAGTATTCATGCATTCTTGTAGGCGCTATCCGTTTCACGCTGACCGCAATGACCGCACTGTATTTGATGCAATGTGTGAAGTATTCGTGCAGTCTTGTAGGCGCTAATATGTGTTACATGCCGATCGCCGCGCTGAGGGCTTCTCCTTTCCATCTCAAGTCCTCGTCATCGTTGCTCTCTGCGCCGCGCCGCTCCAAGCCAAATTGCGTGTTTGGTTTCTCTCTTAATTCGACTAATTAAAGGTGCGGTGACTCTTGTATCACCAAAAGACGACTAGAAATTATTATACTCTCAGGAAATGGAGGATTTGGTCCCTTTTCCTCGTTTGTAATTTTTTTATGAATCCGATTCTTTTTCATAACTGCATTTAATAAAATTGCAAAATACGCCGCCACCTGAATTTGCCGCCATGGGCCACGGCCCATGTAGCCACCTGAATTTGCCACAATGGACCGCGGCCCATGTAGCCACCTGAATTAGCCGCCATGGACCGCGGCCCATGTGGCCACCCTCTAAATCCGGCCCTGGTCGTTGGTTATAATGGATCTACCACTACAAAAAGAATACGAAAGAAAATATTTTGCGAGTTTTGTAAGCTTTAAGGAAAAGCGAGCCTACCTTTAAATTAACGAAATTCGCAATATATATTTTCTTTCGTATTTTGTATTTTTTGTGGTGGTATCTCATGTTAATCCCTATTCCCTTTCAAGGACCCGTTTCCAAAGTTACACAGCTGAATTTCACTCCAGATTGGCAAAAATTTCCGCTTCAAGATATTTAATCGAAGGCTGCCGTAGGTATCCGTTAAATACCCAGTGTAAATCAAACGAGACTTCCCAAGGAAATAAATTGTTTAAAGAAGGACTATGAATACGAGCTTAAGTTCTCCTGGAAAAAAGGTAAAAGGTGGCATCACAGCTCGAAGGTGAGAGTGAGCCAAAGGTGGGACTCGAGGAGTGCAAAGCGTTGTTGCCTCATAGTGCCACAAAATCAACACATTTCCCAGTTTAAACCCATTGAAAAATATCCACATTTTATTGTAGAATCTGGTAACCTTGGTGCGAAGGGACTGGAGGCTCTGGATCCGGGCGTAGGACCCAGTTTCCCGAGTTTTTCAGGTCCTAATTGAATTTGGCGCTGGAAAAAGACGAGAGGTGATGATTCCACTCCACTTGTCCCCGACTCGGCGACCTCTCGGCCCCAGGCCTCCGGCATTCAGTCTCCACTTACCTCCGACCCTTATTACATAAACTCACTCTTGTTCCAAGGTCCTCGGTCCTTCCCGTAGCCGTACTTTAACCCTACTAATAACAAGGTTTTTTGTCCCCCAGAACTTTTTTCACTTGATACGGAGCGAAATTCGCGAAATTGAGGACTTTTTCGGCATTAGGGTGCATGAGGTTTGCAATGCTGCTAAAATTGTGCAATTTTTTTAGAGTTTGCGACGGATGAAAGTCACTCACAGTCGACTTACTACCTTACAATGTTGATGAGAAACTCGGAGCACATTCAGGGACAAATTCACAGTAGAACGGTCGGATAAGTTACTTACAAATAGAAAACAACGTTGCACAATCTTAGCAGCATTGGAAGTCTCATGCGCCATTTTACCGAAAAAGTCATGAGCCTTTTGTGAAAAATTCAGAGGAAATATCTTCAAGGGATCACGCACTGTTGCATCGATGGCTAAATTGCAAAAACACGTTTCTTTATTGCAGCGTTTCAAAACTTCCGCTTCTGATTTATTTTGTCTTACTTTGTTACTATGTTTATATCAGCACATACCTGATCATTACGCAAAGGCAGCCGTCTTGGGAGTGCCCGAATCGAACGAGAAGTTCTCCAAAGAACGCCCTATTAGAAGATTGCTTCGCTAGCAGACGAAGTAACTGACCCGGTGTCTCGAAATGTCGATAAACTCCCTCATAAAAATGGATCCCGGAGTACGAAGTAGCCGTTCGACTCAGGAAAAACAAGGGAAAGCTTTTCCTGACCGCTGCGTTCTTAACTGATCGCTCATAGGTGGTTCTCCGCACGTATAGTGCCCTCTCTGCGTAATGGACCATTAAAGAGAGACGGAAGCTGTGCGGAGGGACATATATTTATTCGTCAACATTACTCATAAGCTGAGAGCATATTTTTGTTATTTTATAACTTTTTTTTTCAGGCGCTTGCTTGCAATATACTGAGCAGCTATTACGTTACATTCATTTATATTAGGAAAGTCAGTGCTAGTAACCTGCTAGAATCGTGTCTCTGTAATTGAATCGGTGTCTGCTAGACGGGCGTGGGTCTAATACTGCCGTGCTAAGGAAGAACGCCGTATGAACCTTCAGACGTTGACACATTTTCTTCGATAAAAACCTAATTTGCTAGGAACATCGTCGGTGTTTTTCTTCAAAATTTTCAGACAATTTTGTCCATAATTTCGTCTACAATGTGTGAAAATTTAAAGGAAAAATAAGGATAATTTTTGGCAAAAAACATGTTTTACGGCGTTTAGGCAATTCTCGAATGTTGATACGGCATTGTTACTTAGGACGGCAGAATAACTCATGAAGCGTGACTTTCCTTAAATACGACGCTGGGGCTCATGCGTTTTTGGACTTGAGCCCGTTTAGCAGACACCGATTCAATTCTGTACGTGGCCAGCGTTGCGTGCTACAGGAAGAACCGATCAGGGCTCCTCAACCTCCGATCAGAATGTTGAACTAAATGAGTCTCCTTGGGAAAGGGCTCTTCATAAGGTGTCACTATCAATGAAGGGCTTGGAGGACAAGGCACATACGTGCAGTTTGTAAACAAATCGAGTGATTCATTATTTCAAGTAGACTAGTCTTCGTCAACTCAACTAAATCTAGTTCGAAAGTATATTCTGCATGTGAAAAACTCGCGCCCTAATTCCAATTTTTAGGCAGCAAAAAATCAGTTTGAACTTTCTTTCCGCTGTGAGGATCCGTGTAATTTCGAAACATCAAAAACGTTTTTCTCGAAATAGCGACAACTACACGTATGCGCCTTGTCCTCCAAGCCCCTCAAATAAAGCCTCTACTCTACTACCATACTGGGGAAAAACGCTGAGAGAACTTTCGAGTCCTGCAATCGCTCAATCTTTATTTTTGAGGAAAATTACGACTATTTGCCCAAATTTACTGATGATTAGACGTATTTCTGTTAAACGGAACAATGTGTGTTATGACGTGAGCCCTGATATGCATATAGTCTAATGGGTGTCAGGGCTCATGTCTTGATGCACATAGTCTCGTTTGAAAGAAATACGTCCGGTTCATCGTTTCCCGGACAAAGGAACGTAACATAATTCCATGGTAGCAAAATTGACTCATAAAATTCAATTTTTCACGAGAAAATACCTCTGAACTTTGTGCCCAAAATGTTCTTGGTTTTTTCAAGAGATCAGAAGAAAAATCAATGAGCTTTCCGGTTAGAAATTCCCAAGATTCTCCCAATAAAAATGCAACAAGCCATTGGAAATTTGGCAGTATTGAAACGTGGTTACGTTTTATAGTAAAGGAACGACGAATGCAGATCAAACTGCGGGCAAAACGTTTTTAAGAATCGAGAATATAATTTTCCCATGCTTACCGGGAAAATGTTTTATCGATTGGGAATTCGGCACTACCCGAAGGCTTCTACGGCGTTCTTTCTTAGTAGACAGTGCTTTATTTGCAGGCTGATTGTTGAAATTGATAGACAAAGCTGTATACAAAGAGGACAAAATGGATATGGAGGATCCTATTAGTGGAAGCGGGTGATTGCGATGGCTATAGAAGGGAGGTAATAGACTGACTAACGGCAGCCCACCATAGACCATATGGTTAGTCCATCATTTACCCCCTTAGTCTAAAATAACCACTCATTTCAACCCATAGGATCGCTCCATACTTCCTATGTCTTCTATGATTATCGCTTTGTAAATCAATTTCAACATGAGCCCACTGGTGGCTCATTCTGACTTTTTTCTTGAAGAACGGAGCTACCTTCCGAGCAACCTGTGGGAAATTCCGGAGGTGGGACGCGCACCCCCTCTCAAAATTCCAAGAGCTCATCACTAATTTTGGCGTAACGGCTGAAGCGAATAATTCTCCGGATACCGCTGAATCTCCACTCCACACGATTAGCATTACTCTTCGGACGGAGCCCCGAGAGGCAGTCCATTATTCTTGCATCTGGAAAATAGCGGCGTTGTCGAAAGCCAAAAATCCAGGGATCCTCGCAGGAATGCGGGGGCCCGCGGGAAACGAGCGGTAGTTTTTCATACTAGATTTGACGGCGACGAGATGAGAGCTTCAGATGAGCCGCATCCCCAAGTCCCGGGCTCAGTGAAGCGTTGATTGATAGTGGGATTCGACGGGCCTAGGGGAGCTTCTTCGTCGACCTGAAACATAAACCGATTTTCGAGGGCTCACTTCCCCGAGCCTCGAATGGAATTCCTGACCCACCATCCGCCTTTTTACGCTTTCTCTCCTACGCAAAATCAAAAATAGGGTCTCTGAACGAGGTATGAATAGAATCACTATATTGCCGTGCAGTGGCGTAACGGGCGCCCCCGCAGACCCTGCTATGCAGGGGGGCCCAGGCGCCTAGGGGGCCCTCGGCCGCCGGAATTTGTTTTTTTCTCTCTCTCTTTTTGATGCTTAGCTTTGGTTTCAAATTTTGGGCCTTTACTTACCGAGATGAGGCTTCTTCCTCTGATTTTTATTGTTAGCACGGGGTATTTTATACTTCTTTCGGACTGTTCCTAACTTTTTGTTTGCTGGAGGGCCCCTGCCTTCCAATGTCCACTCAATGATTACTAAACATTTTTTCTTTTTTTGTCACTTTTCGTAATTCGGGCTTTGGGAGATCCCAGAATCTAAAGGGCCCCAAAGGCTCTTGGGGGCCCTTTGATTCTTGGGCCTACGCCCCTCGGTAGATCCTTGGGCCTGGGCTGGGCCCCTGCCACCCTTTAGATCCTTGATCCTTTAGGGGCCCCATTTAATCGGGTAAGGGATCCGGGACGGTGAGGGGTGAGGCATTCCAAGTCCGTGATTTGAGATGTCTCGTNTGACCCACCATCCGCCTTTTTACGCTTTCTCTCCTACGCAAAATCAAAAATAGGGTCTCTGAACGAGGTATGAATAGAATCACTATATTGCCGTGCTACGGAAAAACGATGTATGAACCCCCAAGCATTGTCCAATTTCCTTTGATAGAACACAAATTTCCTGGTGAGGCTATTAATAATTTTTCTCCAATTTTTAGGAAAAGTTTGATCGCAATTTCACCTGAAGTTTCTAAATTTCGAGGACTAATATTCACAACTCTCCTAGAAAATATACGTTTTTATCTGGGAAAATTTGACGACTCTGAATTGTTCATACGGCGTTTTTCCTAAGCAAGGCAGCATACGCAACATGTTTTCACTAAAAAAATTGCAAAAAGAAACTAACCACACGACGGGAGAGTCTTATTTCGAAGATGGCTTACGCTACTAAAATTGCTTGAAGATTTTATTGCTTTAATTTGGCATTACAACGTTGTAACATAATATCTTAACATTTTACCGTAACTTTAAAAATATGTTTCTACCTCTGCGGTCATGGGTCTTCTTTACAGAGAAGCACGCCGCAGTAAATATTACTCTATGAATATTCTAGTTTAGTTTTATCGCAGGTTGGATCAACAAGAGATGTTGAAGAACAATAGAGAGTTAGAGAAACAGCTTCTGAGATAATATAAACTCAGTGCTTAGGTAGTTTACGACCAGGACGCTGGCTCGGCGTTGGTAAATTGTCTCATTTTAACGACTCATTTATTATCTCTCATACTTATAGGGCCGTATCCATAGCTGCTCCTTTCTTCCATAACGAAGTCGAAATCATAGAACCACGTATCTTTATTTTCGTCGTTGCACATTTTCTGCGCCTCTTCAGTGCTTTTAAAAGGTAACTGCTCAGCGATATGCACAAAATTTCTTGCGATTTTTCTTTGCTCGCTCAAGGATGATCTCCTGAAACCTCTCGAGAAAATGTTAACTGGCATTTTACTTTTAACAAATTTAGAATTTGAAAATAAGGCAGCATAGTTGAGATATGGATATTTGAAGTTTCACCATTATCAACAGGCGCATCGTGGAAAAAAATGTAAGGTACTTCGAAAGATATCAGAGAAAGGACACCGTCATGAAATTTAGAATCAGTTTCAATAGAGTTACTAGGTGCGTGGCTTGTTTGAGTTTAACTCTGAATACAAAATAGCTTTGAGAGGGAACGATTGAAATATTTGATCCACCATTTTCAGGACGATGAATATTTTTCGTTTCTCAAACGGGGGACGTAACTCTGTTCAAAATTGCAGAATAAATTACAAATGGCATAACCATTTAATACGAGATAGGAATACAACTATGCTACTTTTGCCCAAAATTTTACAAATTTTTGCAGGTAGTTGGAAAAAATTGGTGATTGTACAAATGACTTACCTACATTTTCTAAGTAAATATACACATTGCAAGTGGGAATTTTGTGAATTCGAAAAGTTCGTTTTTTCACCCGAGAATGACTTAAGTGTCGGATCTTACTGAAAATTTACGCCCAAATTTTGCAAATAAATGACCTTAACAGCTCGTGACTGATTGTGAACGATATAATACTGCATTCTATCGAATCATTCAATTACAGTGGTGGGACGTGTTTTGCGATTTATCGATTGATCTGCCATTTAAAACTTTGGAAAAAGATCGATAAACATGATGTTTTCAAGGATCTTTTGCCACAGCTTCAATGGGAAAATATCGGTAGGTAATCGATCATTCACGCCTCTCTTCTGTACAATCACGATATGTTCCACCATTTTGAAAGAGCACTCCACTCTCCAAAAAAATCACCCTCCATTTTTTTTAGCTTCTACTCTGATGCGGACGCTCACGGATTATGATATAGTTTGCTGAAAGGTTTTTATTTTGGCTTAAAAACTGTTGTCAATGGTGAATGTCCGCGTGTGTGACCGGTTGGGACCGCAGATTTTGATTTTTTGACTTATATAGGAATCCATCTGAACCGAGCATACAGTTGTATGTACACGGTGACTGAAAGGATTAATGGAGAGCTGACTTAATTAGATTAAAATTGCGACCCGACAACTTAGCGTATGAGCATCGAGGATCATAGTAAAAGTTTTCCAACCCCTCCCCTCTCTACCTGCGTCCAACACCCCCAATCCGGCTACATAAGACCTGCATTAAGTATTTAGCTTGACCTTCGACCCTCTCTCTTCTATCTTGCGGCTGGGAAACCAACTTCCTGTTTTTAACTAGGGTCCGGACTTGCAACAACACTAAACAAATTATTATTACCGCGAGACAGCAGCATCTTTCTTTTTAAAGGGAAAAAATTGGCTTCGTTTACTCGACCTCAACCTATTTACCTTGTAATTTCCGATCAGTGGCTCTTTTACGTGAGAGAATGGATGTGAGACGGAAAACTCGACGCAGCAATGCTGTAATGAGTTTCTGCAGACAGTGTATTTAAAATCCTCTAAAAGAAGCAAGTTCAATCAAATGAGGGCCTCATTTCAGATTAATGATGAAGAATAAGTTTTTTTGCGATCGCAGAGGACCCACCCTACATGGCCAAAAATTTCTATCCATACCGAACACAAGTTTTTAGTCAAAGTAACTAAAGTTTTCGTTCATAGCAACCAAACTTGAGATAAAGTGGCCAAAGGTTTTGGTAGCTTTCAATACGCTGTGTCCCGGACGGAGGAAGGCAATATCTTTCCAAGAATGCAAAATTGACTTGAACAATTAAATTTTTATTTAAAAAATAACACATGTGCAATTTTTGCGCAAACTTTTTTGATTTTTGCATGAGATCTGAGGAATAATCAATGAAGTTTTCAGTAAGAAACGTCTACGATCCTCCTCGTAAAATGCAATTTGTAAGGTTAAATTTGGCAACATTGAAATATAGTTACGTTCTTTCGTTTGGGATTGACGAATAAGGCTCACATTCTCCGACAGAGGGCTTTTGTTAAAACTGTGCCACAGTTCAAATACTATGACTGAATTCCTCGGTCAGTGTACGGACTGAAAACTTTTGTCATCGTTTCATAAGCTATATGAAGCAAAGTCTGAATGATTATCACTTAAGGCTTCCAGGACTTCATGTCCACCTACCTTTCGTCCATTAAATAAATGTCCACCGCTATTTATGTCCACTAAACGTTGAGTCCAGTCTTTATTATGTCCACATGATTTAATGTCCAACCATGAATATGCCCAAAATTGTCCAAATTGTGGACATGTTTTGTCCACATTTTTTTCTTCTCATTTAAATGACAGGAACCACCTCAAAAATAAATGCATGCTACTACTAGTTAGTTAGTTCGTATATTTTAAGACGTTCAACGTCACAGGCTATTAACGTCTTTACAGAGAATTTTGAAAATGGGAGTATATACGAAAATTTAGATTTTAGAGGTGAAGAGTTCCTTCATTCTTAAAAAAATTTCATTCATGAATCAAGTCATGAAAGAGAACAGACTCTAAGAGCAGATAAAAACATATGTTCATGTGTACACTGTAGGAATATGATAAGATGAAAACCAAAGCGGGAGCCTAGGAAACGCTCCAATGCCAAATTAAACATTTTTCAGTCACAGATGCAGTCAAAATTGAAAATCCTCTTTAACTAGTTATTTCGTGCGCCTTCAATCTTGTAGGATACTGTGCAACGCCTCTGACGCGAAATAGTTGCTCAAAGCGTTGCGGCGAGGCAGGCAACCAGCGTGACACGCGCATAGGCGCCTACAAACCTAACGGGATACTTCACGCGTTGCGCAATGCGAGAAGTATCCCGTTAGGTTTGTAGGAGCCCGTGCGCGTTCTGCGCTGCTTACACGCCGCTCCGCTCTGTGTTTGGCTCTAATATTTAAACTCGCGGAGGCAGCGTTTTTCAACTCATGATTTTGAAATGTTTGCAGTCTCTGCATTGATTATTCCCTTTTAAACTGATGAAAAAGAAATATGTACTTCTGGAAAATATAATGTGTTTTTGTAAATATAATATTCGTCCCGTGTCAAATTACGTATAATAATATTTACCACGTTTTAAAAATATATAATAAATGCTCTACCCTGGAACATCAAACAACAACTCCGCGATGGAGAAGTAAAGAAATTATTTAATTTACTTCGAAATCTCCTCCTAAGCAAGGCATTTTATGATTTAAATGAATTCCTGAATTCAGCTGTTGAGTAACATTCTACTAACCACCACCTAACAGTTGTAACAGTTGTAATTTATATTCTTAATTATTGTATATTCTAATTCCTAAAGTTTTTTGACCTGTGCCATAGCTCTAATAATGGGGCTCTCATGTACGTAATTCAAAAATGCGAAACCACGTATCCATCGCAGTGCTTCAAAATTTCCGCTTCTATCTTATTTCTTCGAAGAAAACAAAGCCATTAGCTTGAAATTTTTGGAGAATAATCTGCTTACAGAGAAGAAAACTCGAGGTAATTTTAAAGAATTTACGTTCACTAGTTTTCCAATGAAACAGCAAAGTATGTAAGGAAGTCTGCAACGTCGCAAATGGAGATGTGCCTTCTCACTTCCACTATGGATATCAGACTTTCATCACTTCAAGAATGTCTATCTTTTTCCGCCAGAATCTTGAATATTGATGACAAAACTTTGAAAATATGTAAGTCTGCATCATTGCCAGATTATAGTAATATTTACTTTACGAGGACAAGAGGCTTCCCTTTTTTTCAATTTATTTTTATTTATATATGGTGAAAGCTCGCCGAATCAAATTGTGTAGGGACCGAGAAAAAATTCGACTTAATTGGTATTTCGTATTAACCGTAGTTCGACTGAACGAGCTTTTACTGTTACCTTGCGAATCGTGCAGCGTATGTTCTCTGTGACAATTCAATTTGATAAGGATAAGCAATTTTTCTGGCACAAAGTAAACACTGTCGGATATTTTAAGACACAATCATCAAGATATACATATAGATGTTTTTGTAAATTTCATGTTTCTCGCCATGCGTTGATCATTATTGTAAAACCCTTTTACTTTTACTCATTTTAACCCCCCGGAGAAACAAAATGAATAGAGTAATGCTCTCGACAATGTTTGAAGCGAATTTTATTCTTGTACCTCATCTGATCATTTACAGCTAAAAAAAGTGAGTTAGCAACGTTTTCGCTCCTTACTTCTTAAAATACGATACAAGGAGCAACAATTTATCCGTTTAATGAGTTTTCACGTGCATCTAATTAAGTCAACGCTCCTAAGTGGGCAAATTACCCCAAAAACCCAATGTAACAGCATTTGAAATGCAAATTAAAACATGTACAGTGCCTTAAGCCCACGCATAAACTAAAATTTATGCCTTCACGCTGAAATTAGCTTGCTTCATGTTTCAAAACATTCACATAAAGCATGTACTAAACATTGTCACTGTTTTAGATACACGTTTAATAGAGCCCCGCAAAAGCTTGTTCCTTGATATACGCTTTCCTGAATTTTAACACTTGAAAGAGCTACTATTTGTTATAAACCTGTCCAAAAGTTCAAAAGCCCACTTCGGTTGTGTAGTGGGCACCATATGACCCGCATTCCGGACCAACACCTCCGTGAATGTTCCTGCCGTCTTGTAATATCCTGCCACATCCACATTAACTTTAAACTGACACCTCTTGGCCTTATGATACTCACTGGCATGCGGCCACTCAAGAGAATCGTAAAATGCTACGCTTAACGGGTAGGCGACAATGATATCAAGTTGACCACTATAGTACAAAATCGGGAATTTCTCCGCTGCAAGGAGCTCTTCTACCCAGGGCTTCACAGACTGCATTATATCCGCTTCAAGGTTTTCGTACGTTTTATCTCCGTCATTGAATGGGTAGCTCCCTACGTGAATTGCCTTCCTGGTCTGTGGACTATTAATAAAAATAATTTCAGGGCCATCCTCGCCTATCTCGTCGTTTACAAAATCATACAAATTTTTTAGCCCTGATTTTTGCTCGAGTTCACTCAATTCTTTATTCCGCATATCGTTGGCAAGCAAGTATTGTCCCGATCTGATAAGAGCCCGCATTTCGTTCTCTCTTTTCTGGAAGTCATCCCTCGTCCGAGAGTCTATTAGTCCAAGCTTGTATAAGTAGAAAGAGTAATTCAGCATATGAAGCCTGTCCGCGCTACCATTCCCAATCATAAGCCCTGCTAGATTGACTTTAAAATTAGACACTTTGTTCTCTTGATATATTTTGTGTCCAATCGCTGGAATGTACTTTCCAGCGTACGACTCGCCCGTGATGAATAGCTTGTTACTATGTAGAGTCGGGAAGAGTTTGTGGAGCTGTACCAACGCTTCGTAGAGGTCTCTGGCAACGTCTGTCTCGTCACGCGCGTATCCTGAATCTTTCTTCGTGAAGCTGAACCCGGCTCCAACTGGGTTGTCGATGAAGACAAGATTGTATTTTCGGTGCCAGGAGTATTTCCTCCTCTTTAATTTTTGGTTTTTAGTCACAAAAAATGGTCCTAATTCTGTGAAGAGGCCAAACATGGAACTGGATCCAGGCCCACCCTGCAGCCAGACGACCAGCGGTTTTTTCCTCCAGTCACCTTGCTGGCTTTTGAAGAACCAGAAAAAGAGGTTTGAGTCGGTGGATTTGTTGACAGTCAAGTAACCAGAGAAGCTGTTGACATTTTTCAGCATCGGTGGTACTTTGGCTAGGTTCTGTCCCTTTTCGATTTGCCCATTTTCGATGTAGGGTGTTAAAAACAGAGCATCGTCTTGCGTTAATCCGGAAGATACGTCTGGTACATTATTCTTGCCACGGCCATAATCGTCGATGAAACCGGAAATCAAACTCAAGACCGTAAAGAATGCTAAAATCAGCAAATATCTCTGGCTTGATACGTACATAATTAAACCATTTGACGGTCAATGTATTATTTCACAACGTTGAGGAACAGCCACCACACTAGAGGTAAATCCGCACAATTGAGTTCGCGCATTAATGAGAAGAAAAATACAACGCCCTAATGTGCTGTTTCACTTTAAAAGCTTTTAAATTTTAATCGTCCAACTTATTAACATCATGAAGAAGTCATGAATTGAATGATTTTTTATTGCATAGCATCAAATGAACAGAAAACTGATACCCCTATGTAAATGGACGTATTTCTATCAAACTGAACTACACGTATTAGGACATGAGCCCTGCGTCCTATAAGAATAAGTGTATAACAGGGCTGATATCATGATGCACATAGTTCCGTTTGGCAGAAATGCGTCCAAATGGTAATGCTTGAAATCTCAATTAAAGATTATTGTGAATCCCACTTAATTCCTCCCTGATAAAATAAACCGAGAGCTTCTTTAGGTTCAAACTGTGTTTCTAATGACCAATTTTTCACATTTGTATGAGTCCATACACAAACAAAATTATATTTTTTCTTTGTTTGAAAAGGAGCTGGCAACGTCCAAGACGCTCTATTTGTAGAGCTTTATGATTACCACCTCTCTTTAAACTTTAAAACACTGTTCACTTTGTAAGTAACAGGATTGGGGATTAGTGCTGGACCTTCACCATTCGATGGGTAAATCAAGGCAAAAAATTACCAATATTTTCATTAGAGTAAAAAGTATGAACTCTAATAAGTATTAATGAAAGACTGATATGGGGGGGGGCTGAGGCAGATGAATAGGAGCACTACGTTATTTTAGTGTTTTTTTTTCTCTTTCGTACTTATTTGTAGTTGAGTTATAAAGTGAAGATTTCATCAGACAAATTGCAAAACAATATTTCGGCAAAGTTTTTCACTTAGTTTTTTATATATTTTCTTATCAAAGAGTGACGACAGTTGTAAAAAATTGTGTGACCGAATCGAAGAGAAAGGACGTTTCCTCTGGAGAAAAAATTATACTTAAAAAAAAACTTAACAACGTTTATCCATGACCTAAAAGTTTTTGTTTCCGGGCTTCAGGGCTTTAATCTCCTTCAAATTTTCAAATTCCAAGGTCAGACTTGCGCCAAAATTTCCATTTTCTTCCTCCAAGCATTCGCAAAAATATAGGTTAATTTCTAACAGGAGATGAAGTTTTTTTTCATCAATCAAGTCACATATTGATTTGAATTTGTTTCCATATGATCTATTTTTGGATCAGTTCCTATGAGCACAAAAAATATTTTGTGTGAAAAGGAGGAGCACGGGACTCTCATCAGATTTAACATACAAATGAGGAACTATTGATTATAAACCTGTCCATAAGCGCAAAAGCCCACTTTTGTTGCATAGTGGGTACCATATGACCCGTATTCCGCACCATGACCTCCGTAAATGTCCCTGCTGTTTTGTAATACCCCCTAGTAGCAGAATCAATTTTTGTTTTTCTAAAAAAAATATAAAAAAAATGTATCTCTTATATAAAAGCTCGTTTTACATAAAAGATATATAACGCTTATATAAAAAAACAAATTCAGGCTTCTGGTCCTTCCTAAAAATAAAAAAAATGTTCAAACTTATATAAAAGCTATATACAGTTTATATAACCAAAAGAATGAATTCATCCTATCTTTTGATGTATAACCATTATATAAGGAGCCTATAAAAAGTTTATGAAAGTTACGTATTACCTTGAGGCTGCAGTTAAATAGGAGTTAATTATAATTTATATAAAAAATGATTACAAAATATATAAAGGCCTCTCAAAATTTCAACATGATTTTCAATTTCATCATTTCATATAATCGTTATATACGGAGCGTGTTAAAATTACAAGATGTATGTAAATCCTGAATAATCTCGAAATGATTTGCTGTTTCTTCATTTTATATAATTGTTATATAAGCAACGTATAAAAAGTATAAACAACTTACTTATGGTATTGATGCCACGGTTAAGTGCCGAATTATTAGAATTTATATAAAAAAAATTACAAAATATATATAGGCCCCTATCAATTTCAACATGATTTTCAATTTCATCATTTCATATAATCGTTATATAAGCAACGTGTTAAAATTACGAAATGTATGTAAAACCTGAATAATCTCGAAATGATTTTGCTATTTCTTCATTTTATATAATGGTTATATAGGCAACGTATAAGAAGTATATACAACTTACGTTTGGTTTTGATGCCGTGGTTAAGTGCCGGATAATTAGAATTCATTTGAAAAAAATTATAAAATTTGCATAGGCCCCTAACAATTTTAACATGATTTTCCATTTCATTATTTCATATAATCGTTATGTAAGCAACACGTGTTAAAATTACCAAATGTATGTAAAACCTGAATAATCTCAAAATGATTTGCTGTTTCCTCATTTTATATAATTGTTATATAAGCAACGTATAAAAAGTATATACAACTTACGTTTAGTTTTGATGCCGTGGTTAAGTGCCGGATAATTAGAATTTATATAAAAAAATTACAAAATTTACATAGGCCCCCTTATAATTCCAACATGACTTTTCATTTCATCATTTCATGTAATCGTTTTATAAGCAACGTTTAAGAAGTAAATAAAACTTACGTTTGGTTTGGATGTCGTTGTTAAGTGCCGGATAATAATTATTTATATAAAATAATTAAAAAAAATTATATAAGGCTCGAACAAGTTCAAAATAAATATCTACTTATAATATAATATGATGGTTATATAAGATACGTGTAAGGAGTATGTACAACTTACGTGTTGTTTTGACGCTGCAGTTAAATAAGTGCCAAATTATTCTTTCTTATTGAAAAAAAATTACGTGATTTATTTTAAAAGTAAAATTCCAACTCTGACTTTGCACTCCTCCGACCTTCGACCCCGTTCCTCCGCGTTGCCACGACAAGCCCTGCGCTTTTTTTTTCTTTCTGGTTTTACGGCTTCGTGCCTAGAACCTGCAGCCACCATTAGACTATATTTAGTCCGCAGAAATCGAGGGATTTAAGTCCATTAATGTTCCAAGCTCTTCAAACTTTCAGGGATTAAGGCAGACATGGACCTGTATCAGCAGATCTTCTCGATAGTTCCATGAAAATTTGACGCCACTGCCGGGATTCGAAACCGGGACCTATCGACCTATACAGTCAGACACACTGACCACAAAGCCAACCTGGCTCGCCAGCTTCCAGGTTTGGTCGGCTGACTTCCGGCTTCTCCCTTATTATTAGGCAAAAACAAAATGACACGCGACATCACGGAAAGAATGAAGTCATCGATGATTTTACCAATGATGTCATTTTTAACCTAACAGAATTACGTATCTTTTCGGTTGTTTGACAAAGAAACATTCTAACGTCATTGTTGACCGCTACTGCTACCGCTGAAGAATTGACTACCGCTTAGGTAGTCAATTCTGACCTGAGGGCGACAGATTTTATTCCGTCCCACTCTAAAATCGGGAAAACTTATTTGGCAGAGGCTCCTTCTTGAAGGACAAATTTACATACTTATTATTCGATTCAACGCGACAGGAGACTATAACTTTGCAGCAGAAACGAGAATTAACATAAGAAGGTTCCTTGTTCCACTATTTAACAAAAGAAACTAAGAACTAACAGAACTCCTCATAAATCTTCGAAGTCTAGCTAAGGACGTGAGCCAATTGCATTGAATGGAAGAATTTAGACTTGAAAAAATTAAGTAAGTACTAATGCTGCAATTTTTGATGAATAATGCCACTGGATGCCATTTTTGTGATGATGAGATTTAGCAAATGGTTCCAATGAAAAAAAAATCACGTTTGTGCTTTTCCAGGTTAATTTTGAAAAGAAAGTATTTTTCAAAGAGGATACAGAGACACAAAGGTATTCTGAGATTTATTCTTCAAGTAACTTTCGATAAGTGATTTCTGGAATCAAGTTCATGCATATCATCACAATTTGGATGATGCAAGATTACTTTGTGAATATTCACATTTAGTACTGTTAAGTTTAGGCTAAAATTTTATACGCCGCATAGCTTGCCTTGTTAGGAGTTCTCTCAACACTTGTATATTTGGTCGGGCCATTTGCATTGGTTTATTAACAGTTACTGACCAAGTCTTGTTGCTGCTTTGTCAGGTGGAACTCATGACAAGCTAAAGGCACCACTTAAGTTTCTGACAGTATGTCATCCAGTCCACCTGACAAAGGCACGATAAAGCAGCGATAAGACATAGCTGATCATTCACACTCCCTCTTTTAACTTATGCCATCTATGTCTACCAACACAAAATTTCAACAGTCAGGCTGCTGTTGCTAAAGTATGTATCCTCTTTCAGTTAAGTGGTGAGTGGCACTCAACTTCCAGACGGCCTATCGAGAGAATAGCGTTAACTTCATGATTCTGCTGCAAAGCCATGTACTTCAATGATTAATTAAAATGGAAATGAAAATGGCAGACCCATCAACAGATTGGGTTTAGTTTGTTAGCAGACCGGTACGACTTGTCAAAATTTATCGCCAGAACTGATAGGACCTCTGTTACTCTCTTTAACAATGGAAAGGAAATGAATGTCCTACCTGCTTGGAGGCATGCAATGAAGAGCATCAAAAAAAAAGAAAAAGAATATTAAGAAACAGAACATCTGAACATACCAGTTTCTGGGAAGTATGATCCACTATTTAAAGAATGAATCTCCTCAGGCAAAAATAACGTAAACGTAGACGGTTTACCCGTGAATGTGAAACAGACACTACTTTCTTTACTAGAGAAATAGTTTCCATTCCGACTGTAAAACATAATCGTATTCCAACACATGATTAGTCTATTCTTAGCCACACATTGCTTTTGCATGTATCATGTAATTGAATTTTGATTTGAATTCTTGTTTACTCGACACTGGAGGTTATATTTTTCTTCGAAGGTATTAGATGAGCGATACATAGGGATGGGACAAGGCTCCTAAGAGGGCACATGCAGGCGCCTGGCTGGGTAGGCAGCGACTTTGGCACTCTAAAAGTCGTGAAGCGTCGCCTCAGTTCACGTTCACCCTCGTCCATAGTTAGGAACGATTTTTTCAATCAGAGGATAATTAAATTATAAAATTTATTCATTTCCGTCTGAAAATGTCATTTACGGGTCTCCGAAACCGGGTGTCCCGCCTAAGGCCCTTACATACCGCAGTCCACGGTCTGCGTCATCAAGGCTACGGCTACCCTCCATCTTAAATCTATGCTGCCAGATTCGGCGCCATTTTGGTCCATTGTGAATGCCGTTGCCGTACCACGCCGCCACGCCGTCGATGCCGTCGGTATGTGAATGCAGTGAATGTGACCTGTGAATCTTATCTTCTTAGTTTTTTAATTCTAGTCTTCTCCGTTCTCTTCAACAAGCTTCCTTATGAGCGTAAGTATTAAATGTGTCTCATATCAGATCATGAAATTGTCTTTTTCACAGGCTCGTTCAGAGGCGTGTTCCAGAACACGCCAATGAGCCGTCCTTGTAATAGGCCACCGGCTTATCCGAATTAATCTGGGTTACCATTCATTTTAAGACATGTGTTTGTGTAACCGTGGGTAACCTAATTGTGCGTGCATCTGCCAATTGCAGAGGAGCTCATCAATATATGCTGTATTTCTGGAGAAGCTTTTAACTTCTGAGGCCACAAATATAGGCCTCTGTCGCTCATGAGACTCAGTAACTCAGGAACAGGTTGTCAGTAGAAGTTGTGTGATTGACCTTTCAACACTGTGATGAAGAGACGCCTTATGTATGGAGGAACCAACGATATAGAAACCTTAGATTGGTGGTGGCCTACGACAAAATGTAACACACATGGAGCAGTCGTTTGATAGGCGGGCGAGGAGTGGAAATAGCCGATTGCCATCTTCGTCATGAGCTCAAATACATGGAATCTTACAGGAGTTTTCAGGTAGAACGAATGATTCACCTTTGAAATTTTCATCAGCACTTGATGAATGGCAAAGTTTCATACTTATGTGGACGCAGATTTTCAAACAGTTTGTTCTTAATTTGATATGAGTCCGTATTCAGCAACAGTCCCATTTTTTTTTTTTTTTATATTGGTATGTTAACAACAATCCACAAGGCTTATGTACTCATGACTTAGGACAAGACGCCTCACAATTATAATCCTTGGCATATCAAAACTGGTGGGGAGGAACTTAGCATTCTAAATTCTCCAGCAGATAGCGGTAGCGGTAGTTCACAAATGAAAAGCCATGACGGCTGGCGGTATAAGAAGCCATAGCAATTGGCTATCTTTGTCCGAACCTAATTGTCACTCCTGGTGTGTTACGAATTTTACTGTTGGCGTAGCATAGGATCCCCCGTTCTATCGTCTGTAGATCTGTGGAAGGAACAGTTTGTACCTCGCTCAGAAGAATTGTTGTGTTGTTTTTTACTGGTCGAGGAGCCATTAATGAGAACACAGCTTACAAAAATGAGGTTAGAAATTGAAACTATTTCAGTGCGCCAATTATTGATGTTAGTGTTTGGACGTAGATAATAAAGGAGAAATGAAATCTTATGATTGCCTGGCTGTGTTGTACCTATTGCTGCTCTGTCAGTTGAAATTGAGGATATGCTATCAGGAGCTAAAAAGGTGCCTCTAGCTTGTCGTTATCGGTTTTTTATTTATATATTGTGTCGTTTTTCAGCCTGTATATCATAGCTTCCTACGCTATGTTTATCTGTGTATGTGTATATTTTCCTAACGCACTTCACCGGGCGCTGCCCAGCCGCGTGATGCAAACCTCATCTCGCTCAGCCGCGGCTCGTCCTCTCCTGTTTAAGTAAATTTTCCTGTTAAATGCAATAAGATACAACCAAACTGACTACATTTTCTTGTTACAGGCGCTAATTCCTCTCTTTCAGCCAGATTTTTTTTATATACCATTATTATTTTGCTATGTCATCCATTATGGGTGGTTCAGCTAGAATTGACAAATCAGTTAAGGTGATTCGATGGACGCCATATTTTGTGTCAGAACGGCATGCGATATATCGCATCAATTGGTTCCACATTTTCAGCTACTCGTCATTTTTCTCCTATTTTGAGATCGCAATTCTGTTGTCAGGAGTCTAAAGCATTCACTTACCAATTTTAACAAAGAAATTCAACATAATAAACACATGGTTTTTTCAGAGAGAAAATATCGCATTCGAGTGCAGTTTCGATATCAGTATCGAATGCGATGTTTTCTCTCTGAAAAAACCACGCCATTATTAAGTTGAATTTCTTTGTTAAAATTGGTAAGTGAGTGCTTCAGACTCCTGACAACAGAAATGCGATCTCAAAATAGGAGAAAAATGACGAGTAGCTGAAAATATGGAACTAATTGATGCGATATATCGCATGCCGTTCTGACACAAAATATGGCATCCATCGAATCACCTTAACCAGAAATTTACATTATCGACCTAGGCATGTCCTTCAGGTTCGTGGAGAGATCTCCGAAATAAAATAAAGAAAATTAAAACTTTTTCCCAAAAATTATTCCTTACACATCTCACCACGTTTTGAGACTAAGGCAGCTTTCCCTCTCTCAAATTTTCAAAATGAGGCGTATCCTAGAGGGAGGCGATGTTCTTTTTACCAATATCTTACGGGAGTTCTAATTTCAGGGCGATGCACGAAGAGCACCCAAGCGCTTGGCAAAAGAGCCAAGATCAAGGACAGGAAGGTACTACAGGCGGCAAAGAGAGGAACCTAAAGAAGATTTTGAACTAGATTCATCATCTTCCTTTTATTCTTCGTTTCGTCAAGGGACAGAGTATTTCAAGGAGCAACAAGAGAGAGCTGAAAAAGATTTTCTACCTAGTTCATCATCTTCTAATTCTTCGTTCGACGATCCTGGTTCTCCGTCACGTCATTGCACCCCTCTCAAAAGTCTAATAGAGCAGTCGTCTTTCAATTTCTCATTAAATGATCCTGCTTCTCCGTTACGCCACAGCACCCCTCTCAAAAGCCAAATAGAGCAGTCCAATTCCAAACTCAGCTATATTGAAGAATCTACTTGCAATGTTTCTTTTCCAGTATCCAATTTTGATGTTACCTTTGCTGCTGATCAGGGAAGTGTTGATGAGTTGAATTCCACCATTAAGGGACAAGAGGAAAATTTTGAAAATTATACGATCGTAGATCCTTTGCCAAATGATGTGGGTGATTTTGATGATACTCAGCGTGTAAACGTTGACGTGTCTGACTTTCTACATTCATCTGATGAAGAAGATGTAAGTGACGATGATGATGTTAACGGATTCATTAATTACTGTCTTGACAATTCTGAGCGTGAAAATGATGACGTCCATCACCTTTTGCAGTCATCTGACGATGAAGATGTAAATGTGGATGATTCTCAGCGCGAAAATGTTAATGTGTCTGACATATTACATTCAACTGATGAAGAACATCTACGCGATATCGATTTAAACGAATTTATTAATTATTGTGAAAGTCAAGAGTCACCGTCAACAGAAGAGGCAGACCCGCACCTATCTGAAATGAAGAAGTTTCTCAGAGAATGGTCCTCCAAGAATTCTATTTCGCTTCTGGCCTTGTCAGAATTGGCAAAAGGTCTCAAAGAAACCCATCCAACGTGCTTCTCTAAACTCCCTACTGACGGGCGAACTATCATGGGAACGTTCGTACATAAACTTGATGTAAAACAAGTTCCTCCAGGGGAATACGTCCACCTCTGGATCAAGAAACAGCTTGAATTTGCAGGATCCCTAATATCTGAAAATGTAGATTCATTTGGACTACTTTTCAACATTGATGGGGTCAAAATTTATAAACATACTAAATCATCGTTGTATGTAATCTTAATGACAATCCCAACCTGTAGATCTTTGAAAAACAAGGTATTTCCTGTCGGTTTGTATTACGGTCCAGGCAAACCGAAAAATATGGCCGTTTTTCTCAGACCGTTTATCGATGAAATGATATCACTGTTAATAGGAAATAATTTTTGCCTAGACCAGAAAGTAGTTAAAATACTGCTTTTAGGTTTTTGTTGTGATACCCCTGCAAGGAGTGAGATACTGGAAACAGTAGGTCACACTGGTTTCTATAGCTGCTTCAGATGCACAACCCAAGGAAAAAGTGTATCTACTGAAAGAGTTGCCAAAGGCCACAAAAGAAAACGAGGCAAGGCTAAAAAAGGTAAGGGGAGCAAGCGTGTTTTTCTTGCTGTGAACGATCCTCCTAGAGAGGACTTTGCTTTTCGCAACAAAATGTACCCAAAATTCCAGCCAGCCAATCGGCAATTATCACCTTTGGTCGAGATTCCTGGCCTTCACTTTACCCGGTCTTTCATACTTGACCCAATGCATCTTGTTTTCATTGGAGTAACTCGACACCTCCTTGCGTTATTGTTCTTAGCCGGTCCCTACATGCTTAAACCCTCTTTGCGAATGCAAGTGCAAAGGAAACTTGAAGAAAGTATTCCTTTCATTCCGTCAGACTTTCCTAGAAAACCGACTGACATTAGAAATGTTGGAGGGTGTAAAGCAACCGAGAGTCGATTATATCTTTTATACCTAGGCCCTGTGATTTTAAAAAACTCTCTTGACAAAGAAAGATACGTTCATTTTATGGAGTTGACTATCGCAATGAGAATTTACCACCATGTTTCATTCTGCGCCAATGATGAAGCAAGAAAATATGCCGGAGAGTTGCTGAGGCATTTTGTTTGGCGATTTCCACAATTGTATGGAGAAGTCAATGTTTCACACAATGTTCACTCTTTACAACATCTTCCAGAAGACATAGAATGGTATAGAGATAGCATCCCAGATTTTACTGCAAATGATATTTCTGCATGGGCACCAGAAAACTTCAATCAATTTTTCCGCCGGTTTACTCGCGGATATGCGAAAACATTGCAGCAAAACGTCAGAAGGCTTGGAGAGCTCTTCCAAACTGACTTCTGGCGTAATAAATACAAAGAGAACAGCACTTCATCAGACATTCAGTTTCAAGACGAACACAAAACAGGGCCAATGATCACTTCTCTTAAGGGTCGACAGTTCAAGAAAGCAACTTTCCCAAATTTCCAATTGTGCGTAAACCAGGCTGACTCAACTTGCGGGACACAAAGTGGTGATGTTATCACGGTCTTAAATTTTGTCATTGATACGATAACAAGAGAAAAATTCATTCTTGGAAAAAAATTCGAATTGAAAAGTGAGTTTTTTAGCGACCCATTGCCAGAAAGCACGAGATTCGGAATTTCCAAAGTGTCAAGACTTTCAAGCAAAGTTCATAAATGGCCGGCCTCTTCTATCACATCAAAATTTATCAAAATTCCATACGTCAAAGATGAAACAATTCCTCAGCAGCACAGACAAAAAGAATATGTTGTCCTTCCTATTCTTCACTCCAACGCTGGGCCCTCTACCTCTTAAAGTCATTATATCACAGCATCACAGCTATCTATACACATCATGTGAGTATTATCTCCATAAACTTTCAGTGCACTTTTTCAAAATTTTCACAGTAAAGCTTTCATATCGTAGTGGTTAAACTTCACTGATGGTTACACAGATCAGGACCTAGCTGACGCTCTCATTATGAGCTCTTTCTAATCGCTTGCCATACATTTGATATTATTTGACCAGAATGGGACGACCCACATAGTATAAGTGCTAGTTTGAATCTTTATTTTGGTTTGCTGTTTTATATTTGCTCGCTCGTGGTTTTCTCCTTTTGCTATTTCCTTTTTGGTCTTATTACACTTTGCTCTTGAATTTACTAATCTGTTCTTGGTGAGTTTCAACTTTTTAATCGGCCTCCTTCCCTCTTTCTGCATTTTAGTTGCCTGCTGGCTAATCCCAACCCTTTATACACCCCCCCCCCCCCTCAAAGNTATGCAAAAATGTTCCTCGGAAATTCCTTCTCAGCCGGCTCCCAGGCTTAGGAAAGGTATTTTATCAAAAGTACCTCAAAGACTGACGCCTCACCTGCCTATGAAAGGTGAAGCAGACGAAGCAGCAGTGTTATCTGCAACATTGCTAGACATCAATGCTGCAGGCAGTATTTTTGTAACAACATATTTCAATGTACTTTCTAACATATTTTCAACTGTGTTTTGCCACGAACATAGTGCAACAGTGCTGCAACATTACCTGGCAGTATAGCAACCGAGTGTAAAACAATTATTATGCCAATGTTTTAAAAACGTTGCCTTACTAGATTTCTGCTGCCGTTCGAAATATTCCCTTTTTATTGTTATGTCAAAGCGGGTGCGTCATGTGAAGTCCTACAATATTGCAGTTTCCTCATTTCTTTAGTAGAATTGCATGCAAGCCGTATGAAATTGGTATATTCTTTGCCTGATTTTTGCTTCTCAGTCACGCGGCCAACTCTCAGAATTTTATTGGTTTTACAATCGACGGTGTTAAGCGGGAAGGAACCAAGCTTCATCAGCTATTGCCAAATTTAATTGGGTAATTTAATTTCTTAACCAAGGACGGTTGTGCGGTTTTTGTTGCAAATGTCAGTGAATTTTCTGCACAGTATGCACGAAGCAAGTTCCATAAAATTTTCAAAAGAATTCCCTTGAACGCTCTCTTGTAGGAAATGAAATTGCCCAGTTAAATTTGGCTATAGCAGCTGTTACATGGTTCTTTTTTGCCAAACACTGTTCAACTCAGCAATTTTAATATAGATAATAACCGTGGATTGTTTAAATTATTATTATTATTTTATTATTATTATTATTATTATTATTATTATCATTTTAGGTAGTTTGTAATTTTCATTTGTAGCGATAATTACTTTCAATCAGCTTTGCTATAATAGTAGGATATTGGCCTTGCAATCTGTTTTTAAAGGGGACTGGGAGCTTTTTTATCAGCTTCACGTTAATACCGCTTAGCGAATAATGGTCCTTTGAAGTCATCTAAAAGTGCCATACTTCTGTTTTTGAATTTTGTGTAGACGCCCTGGTTTAAAATTGTATTAGCTTTGTCATCGTATCATGGCTTTTTTTGGTCATCTGCGAAGAAAACTTTTGCGCAGTAATTTGAATGGACAAGAAGCGTATGTGAGAGATGAGAAAAGATGAAAGCGATGTAGTCGTCATCATGAGCTGTTGCCTGTGGTGATTCAGTCGGTTCTGTATTCCCTTCTCTCCATCATGCATATTTTTTCTCAACATAACAAAATCATGATAAGCTCAGAGCTGTGGCGGTGAGATTCTCCATTTTTATTTCTACTCATTTTAATTTGCACTTGTAAACGTTCAAAATTTTCGGTTTAAAGCTTGGGATTGATTCATTGAGTATGTGCTTCTTTGATCGGTTAAGTCCTTTCCTGTCCTCTCAGCCTTCTTCAATTTGTACAGTCTATAGATTTCCTCAGAATTTGATAAATTTTAACTCAACTGTATTTTCCTGAAATGAATCGTACTTAAGTACGGGTTTTTTTATCTCTACTACATTTTCCTGAAAGAATTTGGAGGGCTTATAAACCCCAGCTAGTAAAAGCCATTGCTATACTCTAATAACGGTTTGCAATCAGAAATCGAAGCATCAGGTTTTTTCCTTTACTTTTGTTTGTCAGTTTTATTTATTTATTTTTTTTTTTTTTTGTTCTTTCGTTTTTCAAATTCATTTTTTCTTCTTTTGGATTAGTCATAATGCAGCCACCTAAGACTGTGAAACTTATTTAATGACCAAAAATTGACTTGATTAAAAATTCGTTTATGTCTTGAGACAATTGCCCAGCCAAAAAGTCTATTGCCCAGTCAAAAAGTCAATCACCTCAAAATGCTACCGCCCCCGTCTCTAAACACCTTACGTAAGGATAGTGAAGAATGTTACGGGGAGATAAGGTTCATGGCGAATGAAACTTTTTGATTTTTCCTTTCAGGGAAAAGGCAAACAAGGAGGGTCGTGGACCCTGATCGAATTCCTGGACAGCCAAGAAAATCCCTGCTTCGACGCTGTTCCTGACAAATGGCTGAACACCGAGAAAACCGAATGTTACTACCCAGATCCAGACCAAACGACGACGAAAGATTTGAATGCACTGGCACTCAAGTGCGAAACACCGGAGTCACCGCTAGCTCCAGGGGTTACATGGATTACCCTCCAAAATATAAAAGTTGTGAAAGGACCATACTGTAAGTAGCATATAATTTTCACTTTTACTTCACAACAATTTCTGTCAAATATTATAACACCAGTCTTCAAATTCTTTCAAGCTTCTTATGTAATTTTTGATCCGATATCAGATACATCAATAGTTTTGATGTCACATGAAACAAAACTATTTTTTTTGTCCCTTTATTTGATTATCGAGAGGAAAATTCACCTTTAGATAGCATACTGGGCAATCGCGAAGCAGAATTATTAATTTATCTTTTCCTACTAACTGTTTCATCTAACTAGAAATAACTCTCTAACGAAGAAATAACTCTCTAACGAAGAAATAACTTGCATCATAAGAATCATTTTTACTGCAAAAAATATGGAAAAAAATGTATTGTTATTAAAATCAATTATGATTTTTTGCAATATGACATAAGTGCAAGGTTTAATAACAGCAACATTTTCAGCAGATATTTCCAATTAGGTATAATTTGAATAATTACTCACTATTACCTTTTAAACAGCCTTTTTTAAGGAGGTAAGCCCTGATTCTCAGTAGTGAACAAAAATTATATATTTTTGTCTAAAATTTCTGAATAAAATTAAATCCTATTGTGAATGTGTTAAGTTTTGAAGCTCAAACAAGTAATCTATGTGATATCCATCTACCTCTCAGTTTCTCTGAAAACGTCAATCGGGTAGAAGATACGAAGTCGCAGAGGCGAATGTCAGGGAAAACATGAAAAAGTCAAGGCAATTTTAAAGAACCTGAAAAGTCAAGGGCTTCTGCCGAAGGTTAAGAAATTTTTCCATTTAGAGAAAAAAACAATCTGAGCAGTGTAGCTGGTTGGCCCTGGAACATTACTGCCGAACGTTAAATTTATTTTTTTGTGTAAAAAGTCAGGGAATTTAGCCCAAAATTAGTTCAGGATTTTTTTAAAGAAGTCAGGGAATTTTGATTTTTGAATTTCCTCCTTTAGAACATATTGCCAATTATTTTTTTTTTCCTTTTCCAGCAAACTTTGAAGATTGCAAGTTGGATATGGTCCGGGTCACCAAACAAAAAAGAACTGCTGAAGAGAGCGAGGCAGAAACTGCGAAGAAACGCCCCAGGAAGGAAAACAAGAAATTTTCGTTTTCGCAGCCACCTCTGAGTTTTCCTATCCTTCCATCAAATTCAGCCCATAAAGCCACCAAAACCAAACCGAAAACCAATGAAAATCCCGTCTTGATTAAAATTCCAATCTCCTCTGCAGAAGTAGATATTTTTTCAGGCCTTAAGGGAGTCCCCAAAACAAAGCAAGCCCCTAAGGGAGCACCCAAAATGAAACCGAAACCATCTACAAATGAGAAACCCTCCTTGGCCATTCCAGGTGAGAAACCAAAAGCTCCAAACCCAAAGCTTTCCACTCCAAAGCCATCCCAATCCTCCTCGGCCAATTCAGGTGAAAAACCGAAAGCTCCAAACCCAAAGCTTTCCACTCAAAAGCCATCCCAATCCTCCTCGGCCAATTCAGGTGAAAAACCACAAGCTCCAAACCCAAAGCTTTCCACTCAAAAGCCATCCCAATCCTCCTCGGCCAATTCAGGTGAAAAACCAAAAGCTCCAAACCCAAAGCTTTCCACTCAAAAGCCATCCCAATCATCCTCGGCCAATTCAGGTGAAAAACCAAAAGCTCCAAACCCAAAGCTTTCCACTCAAAAGCCATCCCAATCTTCACTGACTGCAACATTAAACAATCCCAGTTCCAAAGGAGCAGCAACACTGGAATCCCTAGAAGAACGCATGTCACGTAAGTTCTTCATATTACTCGATAAAAATAGAACTAAAGCCTTTCGTTGGAGCGGGTGACTGAAAAAGCATGAAAGAGCGTCAAAACATTTGGTCCAACAAGAAGCAATCAAGAAGAAAAGAACAATTACAATTTCAAAGCCAGTCAGTAAATGCTAGAAAGTTTGTAAGTTGTCTAATATCTTAGGGTGGCAAACGTGATGGGAAACGTTACAAAGGCCGGGAATTTTATAATGTCTGGAAAGATAGGGAATTTCATTGGAGATTAGGTAATGTTTCCTTCGAAGAATAGTCAGGACTGGGCTATCACGCTGGTCAGCAGTGCATCATTATATTGAAACGTTCGATTTAATGCTTTTTAAAAAAAGTCTGGGAAATAAATCTAGAAAAGTTATGGCATTATGAATTCATTCGCCAACCCCTATTTGTATTTGTGGCATTGTCCAGATAAATCTGAGAGATAAAATAAATAAGTAGAGAAAAAAGGGGTTGAGGGCATTTAATTTATACTGACTTACAATCAAGAGCAGTCGGGAATGTACTTACTATTCTTCAAATTATTTGTAGGGGCTGTAAAATGTATCTATTGATACAGGTCCTCAGTCATCAAAAGGAGTAGTTTGTACTCCTCTGCTTGTCGATCGCAGCTTACTTTTGTAGCGATATCACTTTCTTATGGCCAAACTTAAAATTTACGTATAAATTTCTTTTCTTTTTTTTCCAACTAAATCTAACCTGCGTTTTTTATGTATTCATCATGACTTTTTTGTCAACCAGGATTTTTAAGTTTTGAAAGTTTTGTGGCAATTTTAAATGGCAGTTACTTTCATTCTAGCCAAAAATGAAGTGAAAGCTAAAATTGTAAATCGAGATGTGTGATTCTACCACTCTCTCCTCAAAATGAGCATCTCTACTATTCCAACAACTTATCACAGTCTTTCATTTGATTTCAGAGTATGAAATGCTTGCTGCAGACAGGCAAAATGAAGTAATGAAAAAGCTTGCGGACATCTCAGAAACTCAAGAAAAAATTATGAAAACAGTGGTGGAACTCCGGACATGTTCATTAGCTTCGCCAGCGCCAAAAGTTATGGCTCCTAAGAGAATAATCAAAGATGAAGATATTGATGTAGATCTTCTTGAAAACCTCCCTTTGGAAAGAAACAGGGATATCAGAGTACTGAACGAAAGCCTCAAAGACCCTTCAGTCAAGGATAAATTTGTAAGTACATGGTAGTTTCAGGAATCATGACTGTTAGCTTTTTATTATTTATTCACAGTAGTTGAAGGTCGGAGTGAAGTTGCTTGGACTTTACGGCAGCTTTAAATTTTTTACAGGAGTTCACGTCGTAAAATTTTGCCTCCTCCGTTTTAGACAACTACATACGGAGGAAGTTCCAAACAAGTTGTAAAGAAATCATAAAAAACTCGTAAAAAACAGATTTGTGCATTTTTATTTAAAACATAAAATTCATGCTGTTACTGAAATTATCATAAAATCGAGTGTAAAGATGATTCATTCAGTTTTCCATCATTAGAACTTACTTTGTTAGTTTTGATGCAATTTTCAAGTTAACTTCAATTTAAAAATAATCTCTGAGATTTCTAGAGATTGTACTCAAAATTCATTATTATAATGCTTTTAAAGAAGCTAACCCTTTTTTCTATCTTAGACATTCTTTTACTCTAATATGTATCTAATAAAGTAGCAGGCTCTTTCTCCTGGACTCGCTTCCACTTAATAAATAACTGGTGTGTCTTTTGTCTCTGGTAGATTGCAACGTTGATTCACCATAAAATCAAGAAACCTCTGCTATATCCCAACCATACAGCTAGGAGTGCCATGTCTCATCTCATTTCGCGAAGGAAGACTTCCCTCTTCACTTGGGATGGGAAGAAGAGAGGGGGGGTGGCCAAGGTTGCATTTAAAAATCTTCAGCTAAAAGATGTTGTAATGGGTGAGTAATAGTTTCTTATTAATTATTGTTATCTCTATCTGCATAATTTTTTTCTCCAATATGCATTGAGTATTTGACTTCCAAAACATATATTCTGAAAGAAGTGTGTGTATATTATTCCTCTTGTTACTTTTTTGCATCCTCTTTAAAGAGTTTGTAGACACGTCAATAAAATCTAATCCACGAATTAAATTTTCCAGAAATAACTAAGTACCACCACCAAAACCAAGTGGACGAAGGAGCAGTTGCGTACTCAATTGGACAGTGGTTTTCGCAAGAAACCAACAAATACAAAAACGAATCGTAAGTTTTCATCTAAGATATTAAAATTAGCAAAATTATTCAACATCGTTAAAAATTCAGTTAAATTTGAGTTGATAACAGAAAATGAAATTTTTGTTTTTAAACATCTCTTCCAGTGAATATTGTTGCAGCCTCCTCACAGAAATGAAGATCTTGTAGCCTGATTTCATTTAGGTACTGATCAATTGGCTTCATTTCTGTGTGAACACTGAGTGGGTACTTTTTCAATGCATTTAGGTTTTTCTTAGGTCTGGAAAATTTTATAGAGGTAGACTTCCTTCTGTCACCACATTAGGCAAGAAGGCAAAAAATTGAAAGGTTTCTGATTTAGGAAAGTTGACATAGCATTCACATGAAACTCATTATTTACATTAATACCAATGGAAATTTAAGATGTGGTTTGATACAGTGGTTTCCTAACTCTCAATTACTGTATGTTATGCAGGAACGTATCAGTAGGCTCTGACCAAGAGCTGGAAGACAGTAGTGATGACCAGGATGAGGAAGATGACGATGATGTGGAAGTGGACCAGGATGACCTGAATGGGGTTCATGGCGACAATCAAGAAGTTAATAATCATGATGACAATCAAGAAGTCAATAATCATGATGACAATCAAGAAGTTAATAATCATGACGACAATCAAGAAGTTAATAATCATGACGACAATCAAGAAGTTAATAATCATGACGACGGCGATAACGTTGAAGACATCAGTCAGAGAGATAACCAGGATAATGACCTGATTCTAGTTGAAAATGCTGATCGAAGTGACAATGGGACAGATGATGAGACCAATGATGGTGACGATGAGACCAATGATGATGACAACGAGGACAGCAGGTATGGTTTTTCTTTTGTGGCATGTTTACATAATGGATGAGTAGATATTGTCGAAATCACCTCTATAATGAAGCGTTAGTAGAAAAGAGATTAAAGATTAACTATTACCAAATGTATTTATATTGTCCATCTATATACTTTTTTTAAAACTCAATCCCAGCACATTCTGTCTATGAACAAACAGCGTCTGGTTGTTTTTGGACCCGGAAGGTTCACTTTCTTCTGTGAGCCGGGAATAGCTAGTTCTTTCAGAAATTTTTCTTCCTTTGTGGATTTCTTGCAAACTCTTAGAAAACTACCTTGTGGCGCTGAATGACGCTTTTTAGGTACTGTTATTTCATCATAGTGCCAGTTGCATTCTTACCTTTACATGTATGTTCGTGTGGTTGGTTAGTTTATTAATTAATTTATTTACAGGTTCTTTACGGTAGAATAAATTTTAAAAATGACGAGGAAAGAATAAATTAAATTAGGTGTTTAATTTGTTTAAGCAAGGGAAGGATTTGATGGTAAAATTTCAAATGCATGATAAAGAAATAAAAATTTTGTCCGTAAAAAAAGTATCTTTCATTCCTAATCTTTTTTTCTACGGTGCGACTGCTAGAGTGGAAACAAAATTTTGAGCAATTTGCCAGGAATATGTTAGATAACCCCTGCCATTAATCCATCGTTGTAAATTAATGGAATCGTATTCCATTCTAGTTTTCTGTTTTATCTTTTTCAGAATGAAGTTAAATGAATAGAGGTGTCGTCAGATAATCCAGTTTGCAAACGCAGACGACAAATTTTAATTCGCCAGTACACCTCTTGTTCTACGTAACAAACTTATGTAGTCTGCCAGACTTTTGGTATTTTGATACAGTTTAAATTTATATGTATGTCTTGTAATTTTCATTGTAAACAGGTCGTTTGCGCTGGTCACAGAATCGTGTGTTGATGCTGGATTCTTGTAGATTAGGTAGATAATAAGACCAGTCCACACCGCGACTTTCTACGTTGAATATTGAGATATTGCCCATTGAAAAGTCAGGTTTTTGACATCATACACCGCGGCAGTGACACCCTTGGTTTCTTCCACCTTAATTGCTTTCATCAGTCGGTGTGACGCACAGTAGCACTGGTTATTCGACGTGAGACCTGGATGAAAGCAAGGTAGAAGAAACCAAGGGTCTCTCTACCGCGGTGTATGGCGTCATAAACTCGGCTTTTCAAAGTGCGGCGATCTCTCAGTTAATATTGAACATAGAATAAGTTGCAGTTTAGACAGATCTCATTATTTTCAGCTAATGTACGAGAATTAGCATCCTAACTTGATTCTGTGACCGGCGCACTGGTCTATTAATATTATAAATCAGAAAATATCTTGATGGGAAGGTAGCTATGATACCTTTTTTGTGTTGTTTTATTAAATGACAATAGCAAAGTGCTGTTTGATCATCGAGAATTTCTTTCCGAATTTCACACTTTTCTAGTGGTTTTAAAAAGTTTTGGTCTGTGGTGGTGTGACATACAGATACATTGTCTATGTAATCTATTACATGGTTTTTATCCTTAATGTGCTTATGTACGTTTGACATATCTTTAGATTAATGTTTGTCAAACCTTGTTCGTATTGAGCGTTCTGTTTTTCCTACAAATGTGTTTAAATATATTGATATTAGTAGATACTACTTGCACTGGATTAAACTGGACTTTTTATTCTCCTCAAAAACAATTTGTCATGAAAATGGGTCCTTGAAGCAAACACCTTGGAATTTCAGGGGTGCAAAGTTCCATAAAAATGTACATTCTTCTCAATTTATGTGTATAAAGGTAACACTTCTACAAAAAAAGGTCAACAATTTTCCAGTGTGGATTTAATGTGAATCTTACTTAGTCCGAAAACTGGAGTCAAAAAATTCAGATTAGCAGGTTTTCTCAAGGATAAGTTCAATTTATTCAACACTTACTGGAGGAAAAGGGAGGTCCGTTGTTTTCAGGGACCAACAGTTTACAAGAATCGTTGTGGCTCCAGACTGGAAAACTCCTGACCCTGCTTTTCTCTATTATTATCGAGTGTTATTTAACTTCCTGTTTTCCTGTTATTTACTTTATAGTCTTTCTTCTGAAAGATGAAAAGAATAGCTCTGTATTTTTACTTACTGTAAATGTTACGTTTATATAAGAGGAAGAAATTCCTCCTGTTATTTGTGTATTCAATGATTATTATTTTCCAGTCCATTTTTCATGTAGCATGTATGTTTTAAAGTATAAATACTATGTGAAGAGTGGTAAAGAAAATATTAACCGTTATGTAAGAAAAAGACAGAAAAGATTTCCTTCTTTCATATAAACGTAACATTTTAAGTAAGTAAAATAAACCAAAATGTTCCCGAATGTTTACATATGTTCTTGATGGAATAAATTTTTCATGTCAAGGATCTATGAAGAATGTAAAAATATTCATGGCCGCATATGAAAATCGTCATAATCGTTATATAATGAAAAGACTAGACGAATCACATTCTTTTATATAAGCGTTATGTCTAGAAAACGTAAAGGTTATATAATCTTTATATTACCAAAAGCCTAAGGGAATGATTTTTTATCTGTTAAAGAATTCTTAAAGGATTAATATAAATATTTTCACGAAAAGGTTCATTGTAACACAAAGAATCAAGACAGGACTACATCCCAGCGTTTATGTACTTTTTAAGTTTATTTTTATATACCAGATTTACTCTAAAGTGTTAAAACTGAACATTTTTATTGAAGGTTTATATAACAAAAACGGGCGCATGTATATAAGCGTTATATAACTAATTATTATGACTCGTTGATCAAGGAAAAGAAATACTTTTTTTTTTATATAATGGTTAATTAAAAATGTTCAGTTTTAACTCTTTCGTTTGCTTGAGTTATATAAAAATAAAAATAAAGTTATATAAGAAAAATTTAATTCCTTATATAATTTTCAATCTTTTTCAACTATGGGTCTGCTACTAGGGCCCCGCTATTTCCGCTCCAACTTTGAACTGACACCTCTTGGCTTTATGATACTCACTAGCACACGGCCACTCCAGAGAATCGTAGAATGCTACGCTAAGAGCGTGAGTGACGAGAATATCAAGTTGACCAGTAAAAAACAAAATCGGGAACTCCTTTGCTGCCAGAAGCTTTTCCACCAAGAGCTTCACGGACTGCATTAAATCCGCTTTGAGATTTTCGAAGGTTTTATCTCCATTATTGAAGGCGCAGTTACCAACATGAATTACCTTACGAATTTTAGAATCATTCATGAATTTGATCACGGGCCGAAAATCACCCACACTATCGTTTACAAAATCAAACAAATTTTTCAGCCCCGTTATTTGCTTGATTCTTCTCCACTTTTCCTCGCGTAGCTCGTTAGCGAGCATGTATTGACCCGATCTTATATTATCCCGGATTTCATCCTCTTTTCTCTGAAAGTCATCTCTCGTCATCGAGTCAATCAACCCAAGCCTGTATAAAAATGCAGATTGGTCGACGATATGGACTGGATCGGTCCAACCATTGCCAATCATTAGCCCGGCGAGATTGATTTTAAAATTAGACACTTTGTTCTCTTGATATATCTTGTGTCCAATCGCTGGAATGTACTTTCCAGCGTACGACTCGCCCGTGATGAATAGCTTGTTCCTTTGTAGAGTCGGGAAGAGTTTGTGGAGCTGTACCAACGCTTCGTAGAGGTCTCTGGCAACGTCTGTCTCGTCACGCGCGTATCCTGAATCTTTCTTCGTGAAGCTGAACCCGGCTCCAACTGGGTTGTCGATGAAGACAAGATTGTATTTTCGGTGCCAGGAGTATTTCCTCCTCTTTAATTTTTGGTTTTTAGTCACAAAAAATGGTCCTAATTCTGTGAAGAGGCCAAACATGGAACTGGCACCAGGCCCACCCTGCAGCCAGACGACCAGCGGTTTTTTCTTCCAGTCACCTTGCTGGCTTTTGAAGAACCAGGAAAAGAGGTTTGAGTCGGTGGATTTGTTGACAGTCAAGTAACCAGAGAAGCTGTTGACATTTTTCAGCATCGGTGGTACTTTGGCTAGGTTCTGTCCCTTTTCGATTTGCCCATTTTCGATGTAAGGTGTTAAAAATAAAGCGTCATCCTCTGTTAGTCTGGAGTCTGCTACGGGTACGTTATTCTTACCTCGGCTGTAACCGTCAACAAACGCTGTGAAAGAACTCAGGAACGCAGTGAGCATCAGATTGATGAACCATTTTTGCCTTATCTTTTCCATGTTCCAATTGTTTTTACAATTTAAAATTTCACAGCTTAAAGTAACTACGCAATGCAGAGTATCCACAAATTAGAAATTAAATGTACTGTCCCAAATGTAACGTGTAGCGTTACCTACACTGTTTTCTTCTGAAGGTGATTAACTTGAAAAATATAATCAAACTAAGATTCACATTCTTATAGGTACATGAATTTTTATGATCACATCCGCGGAGGCAACGCAATAAGAGACTGATACGTGCCGCTTGAAGGATGCAGTTTGAAATCTCGAGTGGAAACATTTTTAAGTCGAACTTTATTCTCCGATAAAATAACAATTTCAACTACTTAAGTTCGGAAGTGATGCAGTGATGCCTTCTGATTTGCAAAAAGTCATATTTGCGTTAGCCCAAAATAATGTGTTTCTGTTTCTTCTTTGAGAAGGAGGTTGAAAGCAATTTTGATGCCATATATGACACTCAATTCACCATTTTTCTGATCATGTTCCAAAAGAAGTTGTACTTAAATGGTTAGGTCACCATAAATTAGGCGGAACATTGATAAGGCAACACATATTATTGACTGCTAAGGAATACAATCATTCAAAAGTCCTTCATTTCGGTTTGTATGCAATTTGATTTCTGGAAAGTTAAAGAAATTGCTCGAGATAATAGAGGACTTACGGGAACGATAAACGTAGCCCACTGCGCCATCTGTAGACGGCTAAATAATGAATCCTTTCAAAACTCCTTCATTTTGGAGTGTGTGCAAATTAATCCCCTGACAATTTAAAAAAGTTGCTCAAGATAAGAGCAGGAAATAGGAATCATCATCTCAGCAGTAAAATCGCATAGAAAACGTGCAAATAGTACAGATTATTAATTGTTTTAGATAACGCTGGGCCGCCATTCTTGCAACATAAATACATTTTTAATCAACCGCAAAATCACCTGTATTTAAGAAAGTTTTCCGTCACTTCTTAAACCAAATCCATCAAAAAACGTGCGCAAGGTCACTCAACCCAAGGGACTTTAGCCGGGGTTTGACCCTGTTCAAGTTGCCCGTTTTCGATGTATGGTGATAAGGACAGAGCATCGCCCTTGGTATCATAATACTCATAAGACTCAGAAGTAAGTACTGAGAGTGTTAAAATCAAATTAAAAGAGATCTGGACCGTTTTAAACATTTTGACGACACTTTGAAAGACACAATGTGTAAAAAAATGCCGTGTACATTAAGTTGGATTTTTGTTTTCACTGCACGAAAACTTGGGTTCCTCCCGGAAGAGGGCGGCGTGAACGTCCAGTAATAGGTTGGCGGGAGGGAGTGGAGGGGGAGATCAGACGGTGTAATCTGCCCGATGATTTGTGGGAGGATCGATTCCGATGGCGATTTGGAGTCGCAGAGCGCTCTAGTGCGCTGAGGTACCGGCTTCATATGTATGTTTGCAAGAAAACTGACTCTTTCTTTGATTAATGAAAATAAACACTGCAATAGCACATGATTTAAGACAGAATAATTGACTGGCACCACTTTTACCCAAAACAGTCGAAACAACAGAAGACACTCGAACTGGGATTTGATAAATGATGTCTGTCTGGAAATGCGAGATAAAATTTTAAACACTTTTTGATGTGAATTTCACGACATAATCCCACTAGATAATGATTTCAGTGATGCTATATTTCTTGTAACCGTCAAGTGCCTGGTGATAAACACCGCAATCACACGCTGAATGTGGGAGCTGAATGTGGCTTGAATGCGGAAGTCATCGGCCCGATGCCTGAATTTTGCGCGTGACGCGCAAAACTCAGCAACGATTCTCAGCAACCATCGGACCAATTTTGAATTTGTCTGAACAATTCGAGTAGATTTAATACACATCTGGATGAAAATAACTCGAATTTGCTAAATTTCAGCCGTTGGGCGATGACTGTTGACTTCCACATTCAGCTGCTAAATTCAGCGTTTGATTGCGGCATTAGGTATATTCTGTAATGATTCCAAATGGGTTGTCAAAATGCCACGTTTGGACTGTGTACCTAAACATGAATGCCATTTATGTTCGTTGCGAAAATTTTGTTGGAATTGGACTTCATTTTGCAATAGTCAGGAACTACAATTCCTCGTTCATCTGTAAAGACACTTATGCACATTGAAAAACTAATGGTACGTACGTTGTTTCTAAACTGAGCCAGGAATTGTGTTCCGAATTGCAAAGTGAAGTCCACTTGATTTGAGTCCAAAAGAGGAGAAGACGTGTATTATAATGCTTTAATTCGTTTCTTGTCTAGTGGTCCATTCTTTGCCACATCCAACTGACACTTGTTGGTCTTGTGAATCTCTTTGGCATTCGGCCACTGATGCCTGTTGACTCGACGCACAGTAAACCGAACTTCGTGTTCACTACGTTTTTTACGTGCTTCAATTTGACATTGAGGATTTTTTCGACTTTTTCTTTTTTTTACTCGGAGATTAACGACAAAATGCTCAGAATGTTCATGGCACAATTAAAAATCGAGGAGTGAAATTCGGCGCTGGAGTCTATATAGCGCCCAAAACCCATAAAAGATATGGATGGGAAGTGAAATGAGTACCAGAAAGCGTGCGACACCCCTCAAAAAGAGTAGATTCTGCTCCGTGGTAGTGTGAGTCACTCTGAAAAAAGTACGAATTCCGCTCCACATTCACATCACTCGGCATTTTTGAGCGCTATGTAGACTTTGACACAGAATTTCAGTCAAAAATTTTTAATTAGTGTATATAATTAATTGGAGACGGCTAAAAGTTTGGGACCTTAACGAGAAGTTATAACTTCCCAACTCATCAGAATCCCTAAGAACGTTAACGAAACCCGTAAACAAAGTTCCTTTTCACCGTGAAATGTCACGTATAGTCCTATATATTGCCCTCACACGTGAATACTCAAGGAAGTGCTGAAATTCGCATTTTAATTCGTGTCAAACTCAGCAAAAGTACGTTCAAGCGGAGGTTGAGTAATAAATTATCATTAGCAACGTCAACTTTGGCATAAAGATTGTTCAAAACTTAAGTTGGCCCATAAAATTGAGTGCTGTGCTGCGCAGTGCAGTCAATTTTATAAACAAGAAAGTGGGACGGAAAAATGCTGTTTCTGAGATCAGTCAAGCGCTAACAATTGCCAAACTTGAAACCAGGTGAGGCCACGGTTCAGATCTTTCGAGGGATCGTTGAGATTAATTGCGTGAACTTTTCCAAAAGTTTCGGCCTTTCGTCAAATCTCTCTTGTCTCTCGGAGATAATTACATGTCACTAGATCGTCGGGCCTGGGTTAGAAAGCAATTAGGTGTTTTTAGCTGCTCATATGATGTGAATACGTGATTTATCTCTCGTAGAAAGTGAGAAGTTGAAAGTGAAAGAGTGTGGTGACTCAGTACTGATGAATGGTGGAACATACGAGACGAGACCACCTTTCTTGTTCTCCAAATGGTAGCATTTTAATTTGTCAAAAGATGACTGATCGTACTTATTAAGAGAAATTTCGCGAATGAGTCGGTTGCTTTGGTCACAGAATTGAGCGATGATGCTTCGCTCGTGCAGATCAGCTAAAAATATCAAGGTCCATCCAAACAGCAACTTTCTACGTTCAATGTACCCCCCATATCTTGGTTGAGTTATTGCACTGGTTACTCAACCCGACACTCGGATGAAAAAAAGGCAAAAGAAACCAAGGGTGTCACTAACGCGGAGGATGACGTCATAAATCGCGCGATATCTCTGTTACGATTGAGCGTAGAAAGTCGCTATTTGGACGGATCTTATTATTTTTAGCCTGTCAGCAAAAAACAAGAATCAAAACACGAGTCTGTGACCTGTGCAACTGACTTACTCTTCATTAAATTTTAAAACGGAATACAATGCAACACTTACAACTTACAAGAAAATTAACGGGCGCACATAACCGACACTTACCTGAAACAAAATATAATAATATAGATGAGTGACTCAAATAGAAAAAAAACGTAGATTATTCTCAAATGGGACAAATATGATGTTTTTCTTTAAAGTTATTTGCGGGGTTTAATCCATTTGAGGATTCTGCAACATTGAATGAGCATAACTCGAACCCTAACCCGGGTACACGGACTTTATGTCCACTTTTTTTACGTCCACTGACTTTTCGTCCAAAATTTTTACGTCCACAGTTCTAAAGCCCACACTATTGTTAAGTCCATTACTTAAACGTCCACCAAGTTAGTCCACAAATTTAAAGTCCACTAAAATCAAATTCAAGCGTCATATCTTAGTCCGTGTGTAAAATTATATTGACAATATCGAAATGAGGAAATTAAGAGAGAATGAGGTGTTGTTATCGTAACTCATATTTTAAATGAAATACATGTATTAATTTCTTCTTTTGATTCATCTTTTCAAATTGTCTTTGGTAAAAACTTGGTTTTTTCCGATATAAAATATGTCTTGAATGTACATTCTTCTTTTTTTAATGAAATTGATTACTTCATTTTAAAAACATTTACATTTTAAAAACATGATAAATATTTGTAAAACCTTTTCCAAGGAATGGCATCGATATGAATCTCAATGAGCCGTAGTTGTGATAAAGGATACTATACAAAAATTAATAAAAGAGGAAAAAAACTAAGAGGCACGCAATTTTTTGTTTTCAACTTATTTGTACATCGACCTCCTTAAGTCAAACATCCAATTTTGAGCGTTTGGTTGCGCTTACACCACGCTGCGGCACAGTAAAAGCCCAAAACATAAAAGAATAAATTTGAATGCTTTGGAAATCATTAAATTTGATACGGAACGAATATTATATTTACAAAAACACATTATATTTTCCAGTAGTACTTATTTATTTTTCATCAGTTTAAAAGGGAATAATCAATGCAGAGACTGCAAACATTTCAAAATCATGAGTTGAAAAACGCTGACTCCGCGTATCTAAATATTAGAGCCAAACACAGAGCGGAGCGGCGTGTTAGCAGCGCAGAACGCGCACGGGCTCCTACAAACCTAACGGGATACTTCTCGCATTGCGCAACGCGTGAAGTATCCCGTTAGGTTTGTAGGCGCCTATGCACGTGTCACGCTGGTCGCCTGCCGCGCCGCAACGCTTTGAGCAACTATTTCGCGTCAGAGGCGTTGCACAGTATCCTACAAGATTGAAGGCGCACGAAATAACTAGTTAAAGAGGATTTTCAATTTTGACTGCATCTGTTACTGAAAAA